AGATGGAATCAACCGACCAGCTTAGTTTTGATTTCATTGGTAATTTTTCTTATCTTATCAGAAACCGCATGACAAATATTGGATGATCCCACTTCACATATGGTTGTTGCATATCCTTATTATTGCGGTCTTCATTCGAACTTAATTATTTGTTAGTTAGTCGTTAATTTTATGATTTGGAATTATGTGAAGCAGATTCCATGAGCTATCAGAATTTGATAAAGCAAAAGAAGTTGTCGTAGGCGTTTGGCAGGACACAACGAACGACGAAGGAAGAATGGAGCTGATTCAAACGGGGAAGGCTCAAGCCGCAAAGGGATAGGCACTCAGTTAAAAGATATGGTTGTGGGCAGGTTGATGAAAAGGGAAGAATCAAAATAGGATTCAAGAGAATGCCACTTACAAACATTTCCAGATCAGATAACTGTTTACTCTTGAGGATGTCTCTCTCTTCTGTCAGCCAAGGGATGTAATGACAGTGATCGTGCTATTAAACATTGTGTACGTATTGAAGATTCATAGTATTAAGCTGAATACAAGCCATTGGAATCAGAACATTCATTGTGGTGTTAGGATTTCTAGCTAATCGCGGCCTTAGGTATATATACTATCATTTGGTTTAGCCAATTAACTCATTTACGCTATTTAGTTAGATTATAATTGCTTGTACTTCGACTCTCCTGAGTGAATTCCCCACTCTATTATCGACTGAGAGTTGACTTTTAAGAGCTATATGCTGAAGTATAAGCAGATGTATTTGGCATTTGAGATAGGAGAATAGCCACGAATAAGTTAGTATGCAGAGTGAACATTATCTTTGTGGAGAGGTTCATGCTAAATATTCTACGGTTTTATGTTAGTACATCTATTATCTCATGCCTTAAGCTATCCATATCATATGAATCACGAGTTGATTAACAGGTAAATTTTGTGGGTTTATGTTTTGCTGAGTGAAAATGCACTATTTGTTTGTCAAGGAGGCAGAAAAACAAAAGAAAAACTCATGTCTTATGTGATTGCTGTGGAATATTGTGGTCTCCCACAAAATCCTGAGATATATGAATTGCACATGGGTATTGAGATTCTGTTCATTGAAGGATCCACTGCCAATCTTTTGGTTTTGAGGTATATGTTAGGCTTTCTATATTAATTCTCTTTTAAATATATTTTATTCAGCTTATATAGTCTTGTTGCTCCATGACAATTTATAAAATTGTGCTGGGGTGATGCAACAACACACTGACAACCTAACCGGCTGGCCAGCCGTATCAGTCATTCAATCAGAATGCATTGACATTTTTTTTTTTTTGGTTGCATTGTCTGCATTTCATTACATACATGCTCTTATAAGAACACACAACACTGTTTATATTTGTCACAGTATTTGCCACATTCCTGGGCTGTAAGTGAGCCCCAACAACCCTTTTATTGAAATTTTGCGTTGGTTTTTGTATCTGGGAAGTGTGAAAAAGTATGGCCCTATTGGCCATTCACTCCACTAAATACATCTACTTATCCATGCATCACTTTTACTAGGTTTGCTGCTCCTCGAGAGGGAGAAACAACCGCAAAGTTCTGAGTCACTTTACTTGTTTTCCCCTATCAACTCTTCACTGTTTAGCCTTTAACACAGGCAATGAAACGGCAAACCTGTGACACTTACTGTCTCCATGTACGCGTTGATTTCCTTCACAATGAGTGGGCAAATCGTTCAAGAGTAGAGCGACAATTGGGGCCAAAACTAATGTAACCCTTCCCTATATTAGCTGCTAAGGCCGGGCATCATCAATAAAATGAAGATGGAACCATTGTGTTGAGGGTATAGGAATGCACTCCTACGATTCTCAGTATAAATTCGCGATTGAACTAGACCCCACATAGAGCTCGTGCACACTGACGCAATCCCTTTGGGGGTTTGGTTGAACCCCTGCGCTACCGTGAGTTTTGTTATGTGGTGCGGTGTATGGTAACTTGCTCCCAATCCCTATCTATTCTACCCTTATGATATGAACACGTTTACTCTTGTTAAGGTATTAACAAATGTTTAAATTTAGTTTAAGATTATGTGGGAATATTTTTTTCATACAAGAATAACTATGCTAAAATCAACTATAAGTATGTTTGACCCGGGATGGGGTCGGGATATTATTGATAGTTGGTCATACTGGAGTTGATCGCTGACTTTTCGTATTATATTATTTGGATTTAGGAATTAGCGAAATTGGGTGAATAGTTTATACGTGTTTATTATTTGTTGTACAAATTTTATGTCCTAATTATGTAATAAAAAGGTATTATTTATGAGGTGACAATAATGTTGACTCATTGCTGATAGAAAATAAAATTTTACACTGTATTAGGTATTCCTATGTTGTGCTAAGGTTTTTACGTCACTTTTAGTTGTAACTAATAATTTGGGACAATAAATTTGATGCCTTTTTATGTTATAAAACAATGTATAGTACCACCTATGTTGAACGTGTTCTAACCCACCACCATTCGCATTGTAACCTTACGAATTTGTCACACCTAGCGCGAATCTGAAGCGACGCCCAGGTCTGATCATTGAAACGTTAACGGCCTGAGTCACGAACCATGTCATAACGGTACTCGACGGCGTCGAAAAGTTGCCGGGGCCCTAAAAAGAAAGAGCTTCGGTGGTGCAGTTCATAGTAGGATTGGGAGCTCGGGTTTAGAACCAATCTCCTCGTACATCTTAGGTGGCTTGCTGAATGTAGTGGCGGACATCTTTAGAGGGTCAGGGGCCATTTGTAGGTCTGAGAAGGTAGGTTTTACTATCTCCTCACTGTCAACAATCCATCTGATAAACACGACACAATTATTCATTGCAGTCGGTATTAAATGACATATTACACTTGACACAACATACGGATACGGCAAAGTTCCTGGACCCTAATGTCCGCCAAAGGACGATACGGCCACATGGGAGGTTAGCTGGGTCATTCAACTGGAATTTATCATGTTGTAATATAAAATTATAAATACGGTGGGTCAATTTCTATTACTCCTTATCATCAGTTATGAATTTAATTGGTGTGTCTTATGCTTAAATTATATATATATATGATTTTAGTTAGGAGATTTGTCTTTAAAATTATATTTGTTTTGAAGAATTAACATTATATTAGGGTGTATGACATTTCTTTTCATCATTGTTTCAATCTAATGATTGATATACACATTATAATAGTACTGGAGATTTGTTCGTCCTTGCTCCTAAATTAATTATTTTTCAAGGTTTTTTAAGTGAATCTACCTGTGTTTGACTTTTTTTGTCATGAATTTAAAAATGCACTTTAACCCTCTAATATTGAGTAAACAACTGTTTCTCTCTCAAATAATAGCTTAATGATACTTTTCTATCTACAAATTTTTAAAATATCATTTTTCTATCCAAATTTATATTCCGTTTCCGATTCTGGTATCATTGTGACCTCACACCACCACCATTATCTTCCTAGATCATTACTCACCAAAACCCCTCAAACCCTACTCTTGTCGACCCTGTTAATTGCTGGTAATCGAGCGATTAGGGTTTATGCAACCACCCCTCCCAAATCAAATTATGATCAATCACAATCACCAAAATCCAACTTTCCACCACCAAAAGATGCATCGACCTCCCCTCTTCAAATGTCCTAACAGTTTGAACTATGTTTGCTCTCTGTTCATCATAGGAATATAAATTTTGATAATAAAGTGATATTTGAAAAATATGTGAGTGGAAAAGTGTTATTAAGCCATTATTTGGGTGGGAAAAAGTCGTTAACTCTCTAATATTTGACTTTTTTTTTTTTTTTTTTGTGAACATCCATTAGTTTCAAAAATACAATCCTAACTTCTGTTTTTAATATATTGTTAGATTATTTAGTTTAAATTGGAAGGAAATGATGTTTTTATTAAATTCTGTTAATAACATTAAGAGATTAATTTATTGTTTATAGGTTAAATTGATGAAGTTATTGAAAATTTTGAAGGTTCAATTGATGATACTTTTGAAACCAGCAGTGCTCAGGGGGCTAGGATCTCATTTTCCAAACTAGCAGGAGCTAGAATTATATTTCTGAAACTGACGAGTGCTCACCAAAAAAAGTCAAAACACACTAGAGTTTACTATTAAAAAGAAACTCTTTCAAATCACCAACATTTTTCATTCTATTTGTTATAGATATATCTTCAAATCTTTTATTTGTAATTAAGTTAAATTTCAAAAAATTTGAATTTTTTTTTTTCTAGTTATCGAAGATGTCCAGACCAGCTTATGTTGCACCTCGACTAGTCCTACAATCCTGAACAAAGCTTTCGAAATAAGGCAAATCTCACGATCCGTGACCAACAAAATATTAACAACCTTTCATATAATTCGAATTTGAGACCACATATGAGCAAACCCTTTAATCCTAAGGCTTTACCACTAAGCCAGGCCATTGTTGGTTAATATAATTTGAAATTTATTATCAAAATAACTTTTATACAAATATTTCATCTAAAATAAGATAAAAAAAGATATTATACATAAAGAGCTGACATACATAAGCCACTGCGCCGACGTCTCATCACTCATCAGCACAACTTCGAAATTAAGTTAAATAAACAATGATAAAAAAGGATGTGTTAATAATCAGTCTTCACTCATATCTTGATCTATTAAATCTGTGGTTGAAAAACTGTAGAGGTGGGTTAATTTGATTGGTAGAATATAATTATAGAGGTTTCGAAAGAAGAAAAAATAAAAACTCCGGCAGGTGGCGCGGGGAGAAGAAGAGAAGCGTCTCAGTCAACAAGCGTGTCATTACAATACAATGGTGTAGGGGCCACCACTCACGAGATGCGATGAACCCCGCCCCAGCTTACATTACACTGCAGCGTTCCCTCTCATATATGAAAATTATTAATTAATTAATTAATAATAAAGTGAAGTATTTTGTTTAGCGTTTCTTTCTTTCTGACCTTCCTATAGACAACAAAAAAGCCAAGACACAGAAAAAATGAGAAAGAAATGAAGATGGTCTTGTGGTCCTCTTCTCTCACTCTTATCAAGTATCTTTCTCTCTGTTCCCTTTCCCCTTACTTATTAGTTATTACTCTTGTACCACCACTTTGGTTTTTATTTTTTACTTCTATTTCTATTTCTCTGGGTGGGTAGTCGTTTCTCGCTCTGCTCATCACTCCACGCTTTTAAGTCCTTCACTTTTTGCAACGAATTATGGATGCAAAAGGGAAGAACAAGGTGGGAAAAGTCGTCAAGAGGGAAGCTGGGGAGTCTGATGAGGAGGGGTACTGCGAGTCGTACAATAATATGGCAGAAGATGGCCATAATAGTAGCTGCAGGAAAAAGAAAGGATTCGTGGTAAAGAAAGCTGGTTCAAGTGGTGGTGGAGGTGGGAGTGGGAGGAATTGTCAAGTGGAGAAGTGTACGGCTGATCTGAGTGATGCAAAGCAGTATCATAGGAGGCATAAAGTGTGTGAAGTTCATGCAAAGGCTCAGGTTGTGCTTTTGGCTGGGATCATGCAGAGATTTTGTCAACAATGTAGCAGGTTTCTCAGTCCTTTGCTTTACCCGCTTCTTGTTTCTTTCACATTTGATTTTCTTACTTTGGATTTTATGAATATAGCTCCATATCACAGCTGTCGCTTCTAAATTGTCCGTTTTGATGGATTATTCAGAATTATTTATTTTATTTTTTAATCATTTTTCAGTGTTTATCAGTGTTCTTTTTCACTTCAATTCTTGTTTGTTCATTGTTTCTATGTTTCTTATTTGGTTGAAGAAGTATATGGTAGAGCATTATCATTTTTTCTTTCCTTAAAGTTTATGATTATGTTCCCGTTACTTTTACATAAGAAAGTTTCTTTGCAAGATTAGCTTATGATAATGAATTATTGAATTTAATAGGCACTTCAAATGTTTGAATTGTGTGATTCTAGTGATATACAAATATGTTTTAGAGTGCCTTTTAATCCTCCCAGGTGATTCTGCGATATCTTATTTAATCTGGTGATGATGTTCTGATTTGGATTTTAGTGCACTTGTCCTTTTCGCATGTTGAAATTTTTAGTGTTTAGTATAAAGATGGAATCAACCGACCAGCTTTTAGTTTTAGATTTCATTGGATAATTTTTCTTATCTTATCAGAAACCGCATGACAACTATTGGATGATCCCACTATTCACATATGGTTGTTGCATATCCTTATTATTGCGGTCTTCATTCGAACTTAATTATTTTGTTAGTTAGTCGTCTAATTTTTATGATTTGGAATTACTGTGAAGCAGATTCCATGAGCTATCAGAATTTGATGAAAGCAAAAGAAGTTGTCGTAGGCGTTTGGCAGGGCACAACGAACGACGAAGGAAGAATGCAGCTGATTCAAATGGGGAAGGCTCAAGCTGCAAAGGGATAGGCACTCAGTTAAAAGATATGGTCTGTGGGCAGGTTGATGAAAATGGAAGAATCAAAATAGCTATTCAAGAGAATGCCACTTACAAACATTTCCAGATCAGATAACTGTTTACTCTTGAGGATGCTCTCTCTCTTCTGTCAGCCAAGGGATGTAATGACAGTGATCGTGCTATTAAACATTGTGTACGTATTGAAGATTCATAGTATTTAAGCTGAATACAAGCCATTGGAATCAGAACATTCATTTCGTGGTGTTAGGATTTCTAGCTAATCGCGGCCTTAGGTATATATACTATCATTTGGTTTAGCCAATTAACTCATTTACGCTATTTAGTTAGATTATAATTGCTTGTACTTCCTTGACTCTTCCTGAGTGAATTCCTCACTCTATTATCGACTGAGAGTTGACTTTTAAGAGCTATTATGCTGAAGTATAAGCAGATGTATTTGGCATTTGAGTATAGGAGAATAGCCACGAATAAGTTAGTATGCAAGAGTGAACATTATCTTTGTGGAGAGGTTCATGCTAAATATTCTACCTGGTTTTATGTTAGTACATCTGTTATCTCATGCCTTAAGCTATCCATATCATATGAATCACGAGTTGATTAACAGGTAAATTTTGTGTGGTTTATGTTTTGCTGAGTGAAAATGCACTATTTGTTTGTCAAGAAGGCAGAAAAACAAAAGAAAACTCATGGTCTTATTGCTGATTGCTGTGGAATATTGTGGTCTCCCTCAAAATCCTGAGATATATAAATTGCACATGGGTGTTCTGCTCCTTGCAGAAAGGATCCACTGTCAATCTTTTGGTCTTTGAGGTTACTGTTTAAGGCTTTCTTCTATATTAATTTTCTCTTTTAAATATATTTTATTCAGCTTATATAGTCCTTGTTGCTTCATGACAATTTATAAAATTTGCTCTGGGTGATGCCAACAACCTGACATTCAATGTTTTCTCTAATTATTGATGGACCCATGTATGGTGAAGTTGCTTTCTATGGTCCAGATTGCAGTCCAAACTGGAGGCATGACTAGTTCAATGCCATATAATTTCATGGCTTGTAACTAAACTTCAACTCTCCAACCTTAACCGGCTGGCTGGCCCAGCCGTATCAGTCATTCACATCACCAATGCATTGATATATTTTTTTTTTGTTTTGGTTGCATTGTCTGCATTTCATTACATACATGCTCTTATAAGAACACACAACACTGTTTATATTTGTCACAGTATTTGCCACATTCCTGGGCTGTAAGTAAGCCCCAACAACCCTTTTATTGAAATTTTGCGCTTGGTTTTGTTACTGGGAAGTGTGAAAAAGTATCGGCCCTATTGGCCATTGACTCCACTAAATGCAATCTACTATTATCCGTGACATCTTTTTACTAGGTTTCTGCTCCTCAGAGAGGGAACAACCGCAAAGTTCTGATGTCCACTTGACTTGTTTTCCCCCATCAACTTCTTCACTGTTTAGCCCTTAACACAAGGCAATGAAAGGGCAAACCTGTGACACTTACTGGGTAATAAGACTCTCCATGTACCGTTGATTTGCCTTCACAAGAGTGGCAAATCGAGGGCACGCATGGGGGCTAATGTAACCCTTCCCTAATATTAGCTAAAGTCGGCAATCAAATAAAGTCTACATGATTGTTGATAACATAATAATTCCACGATGACCAATAGCTGTGCAATGAAATCTCTTTATTGCAGCGAATGCTTTAAAACATAAATGTGATTAGTCAACGTATGTGCATCTCTAAACGACACTGTTTGACTTAAATTTCATATAAGTGGGCTCTCTGGACAAGATGGCCTGTTCACATGATGAACCACAACTCCCAGCTTGCAAGTTGTTCATATTTTGGACTCAGTAAACACTTGTTTTGGTCAGTCATACAGAGTAGGGCTTTCACATTTCTATTACTTTGATTCCGGGATAAAAACATTATAGAATCCTGTTGGATTATAAAATTGAAAGCAATTTTTCTTTTTCTTTTGTGTTTTATATAATTAAAAGAAGGATAAATCTATCCTTATAAAGAAGTTTACAAAGTAGTTTACAAAGTGAAGGAAAAAACAAAAAAAAACGGAAAAAGAGAAAGAAAGAGAGAGAAATGATGAAGATGAAGGGTGGAGATTAACTTCGTATGCCCCCTTTATAGGCTTCTTTATAAGAATAGCAACTCCCTTAAAAGAAAGCAGCCTATTTTCTTTAGATGAAGTAAACCCATCTTCTTGATTTTAGTACCAAATCCAATCATAAACTAAATATTTAACAATTTTTTTTATATTAATGAATAATGGTGGATACATACAGTAATAGAGTAAAAACCTATTAAAAAAAAAAAAAAATGGTTGGAAATGACAAAAGTAGAAACAAGGAGGAGAAGTAGACAGAGGGCCGCCCACCCAGCCAACAAGTGCTGCTCTTTTAGAGTTGCCGTAACATCTGATTCTGCTCTCTCTCCCAATGTTTATTTATTAATTTAATTAATTAAAATTTTAATTAAATAATTAAATTAAATACACAGCAACAGCGGCACCTCTTCCTCATCATCTCTCTCTCTCTCTCTCTCTCAACTTGTTTTCTTTCTTCATTTGTCTTCAAAGAAGCCGAAAAACCAGCAGAGACTCCAACAAATCTCTCATTCTCTTCTTCATCAATGCCTGCTCAGAGGCGGTCTTCGCTAGACAATCACCAGCCCAACAACGATGACCAACACCAACCACAGCACGACTCTGCTCACCACAATCTCCACGCCAAGCCATCACAACATCTAGATAATAAACCACCACTCCAACACCTAGACAAAGACAAAGCCAAAGACAAAGACGTGAATTTTGAAGAACAAAAAATCGAAGCTTCTCAAGATGGAGACGAAGCTGAAGCTGAAGCTGAAGATGACGATGGTAACACGACGTGCCCCTTTCTTTATTTTCCTTTACATGTGTTTGTTAAATGCATATATTTATAATACACCACGTGTAATGTAATTAACGAGATTGATTCAAGCGATTCCTTTATTTTTCTCAGATTCTGAAGCAACCCCATCTTCTACTTCTCAAGATAAACCTGCGTACTGTACACTCTTTCCCTCTCTTGAGCTTATTATTGCTTGGTATCTGGGTCGGTCAGATTTTTGCTGTTTTATGAGCATTTCATGTGGTTTAGTACAACACTTTCTGTGATTTGGCTTTTCTGTGCTGAGTTTGATTTTGGGGTTTACATGTTTTTGTTCTTGCATGTAGCCCAATGTTTCTCGTAATTGGCACCCGAAAATTCGGTCTTTTGAAATTTTGTTTTGGAGGCGTTGTAGCCTTTCAGGTGGAAACAGTTTCTTGTATATAATTACAGTAGAAGTTGGCAGCTGCATAAATTGGTTGTAACAATTTTCATGCATCAACTGCATTGAGAAATTAGAAGTTCTTGTCTTTCTACTGTATGTAAGTTTATATGGCCATTTGTTCGAGCTGCTGTCTACTTATTTATTTTCCTCTAGTTTTTACCTTTACTTCTAACACTTTTGTCAATTATAAGAAAGTCCGTAGAAAATCTAAGCTGTAGTCTCATCTTGCTAGTCTAAGCAACATGTTTTCAACGAATGTATTTGCAGTTTAATTAAGCAGTTCAATTTTAGAATTAACATGAATGCATACTTCCCATCCTTTAATAACTCTGTTTCCATGTTCTATTTGGTTGTCCAATTATTTTTACAATACTGTATTTATTAATATATTATATCTGGAAAACAGTGCAACTGCCCTGCTTTCCTCTTGCATGTTTGTACGCAGAAAATGATCAGATGTGGTCATTTCTATTGCGCAATTCTGTTTCTGAGAATCTATTTAGTTTTTCTAGGTTAAAATAGCAGTGTAGCCTTGATTCTATGAGATTGTGATTTCCAGAGCATATATCAGAATGCACCCATGTTACAGGAGCTGATTATGAATCGTGATGCTATTCTGCATTAGGATGGAGTTACGTTTCAAAAGCTTGATTGACCTTATTGGATATGAAAAAAAAACTATGATGCTAGGCTTGTCAGCATTGATCAGTTTCTATAATTTTGATGATGATTGTGCTTTGCTACTAGAAATAATAGAGAAGAAATTAGAAAATTAAGGGAATGTGATAAAGCAGTGTGATGGAGCTTGAATGTGAATCCTAATTGATTCTAGATTTACCATTCTAAGAAATGGGTGGGTTGCCCTGTCTGTTAATCTATCTTCACTGTCATCGGATTAGTAGTTATGAATTTTCCTCGAACTTGCAAATAACCATCTCAACTAATAGGGAAACAGTAATTTAAATAATGAACCCTCTTACTCTTAATATTTGGGATTTGATTAAGAGATAATCATGTTCATCAATTTAGTTGTGAAAAGTAAATACCATTTTCCTAGTGTTGGTGTCACTGTGAATAGGTTATTGGGCAGCATGAATTTTCATTAGAAGATCACTGGGAAACTGAGTGAGGCAAAAAACTTTAAAAGTCTAGGAAGGCCTAACCAAAAGAAAAAAAATAAAAGAGAATGAGCAAACTTTAGCCTATGAATGGTGTTGGCCTCTGGCATTTTCCTTTTTGCTTTACTCTTTGATGGAACACACACAATTATTAATGCCTTTTGTTTTCTACGATAAGGGCCAAAAATATCATGTCTGGTAAAAAAAGGTTTCCTTCTAATTCCACTAAAGGTGCAGCTTTTATGCATCTATTGTGGTTGTAACTGAAGTACAGCTGATTTATCTGTAATCTTGAAATTATGTAGCCTTGAATGTTTGTAGGTAACATAATACAAATCTTTTACCCTGCTGCTTTCCTCTCTGATTGGGGATGAGTCAACTTAGTCTTCAAACTATAACAGAGGCACTAGCACTGTATTGGGGAATTATTTAGATACTTGGGTCTGGTCACCGAGTCTTCCGCATAGGAATGTGATTGCTAGTTTTTTGCAGTATCTGAAGTAGGCAAGAACATATTGTGCTTTTGCATTGAACTTGATTGCTTAAAAAAATTGGTAGCTCTCACGTAAACCAACTCTGATCCCAAGACTGTTGCTTCCTTCTCACCTCTTATAGTTTCATATATGTGTTGGTTCAATCCTGTACTTCTTAAGCTGATCACAGTTTTAATTTTGCTGATTTTGATAGTCTGAGCCACTGGGTCAACTGATGTTTCATGCTAATGTAATTTCCACTAGAGGAAACATGAATCCTTACTCCTCTGTTGCTCCTGTGTTGGGCAGTTATATGCATTTCCTACATTCTAGTCTTACCTTGAAGTAATATCATTTGGAAAACTAATTAAGTTGCTTCTGTAATGTATAACTACAGTAAGAGGTATATGTATGCACTTCATAGCAATAACTTTCTCATTCATTATTCAGCGGTTTGTATGATTTGCATATTTTAACATAATTACCAATGACAATATATAAAGCTTCAATCATGTTCTAGTTCTGGCTTCCATTGCAGATTTGTCTATGTAGAACTGCCAGAAATTCGCAAAGATGTGCAGTGTCCGATTTGTTTAGGTACTTTTTTCCTTGAATTTTCAACATTTCTTCTTTTCCTTTTGTTTCTTATCTTGTAAAATTATTATTGTTAATTCTTCTCCAAAGAGGATGGTATCTGAATGTATAATACATGATATGTTGGACATATATTCTATATAGAAAAGTTTTATCTTCTGCAAATGGAGAAAATCAGAATGAGGATAAAAAAATCTAATACGTAACTCTTTAGTGGACAGGGCTGTCCTGGTTTTCAAGTATTCTGCGTGACATTCCCCCGTGAAGTAAAACTTAAAATTTTACTCTGACTAACATTTAATATATTAAGTTCCGCTTCCATTCAAAATTTTGTGATGTTTAGACTGCATATTGTTGCACAGTAATGCTCATATTGCTTGACTGGTTTTCCAAATAATGTTCAAAGTGCAATGCCAGTTTGAATTTCTCTCAGTAAAGTTCTGGTGTACTTTTTGAAGCAAATTTGAGTTTTACCCAGCTTCAGTGTGGCAGAAGATGACATTTTTTTTCTCAGTCATCTATTACATGAATGAAATGCAATGAGAACGCATTTCTACGAATATAATTGAATTTGGTATCATCTAGTCTGAATGTAGTAACATTAGTGTAATCCTTGAAGGTTTAATTGCTCCATGTTATGATCTAGGCTGAATTCAAGGTCAATGATGTTTATATACAACTAAAAAAATTTCACTGTTAAGGTCAATGATGTTTATATGCATTTTGCTTGCACAGGGATCATAAAGAAAACACGAACTGTGATGGAATGCCTGCACCGTTTTTGCAGGGAATGCATAGACAAGTCAATGAGGCTAGGGTATGTGATAAAAGATGGGCCATATCACATTTGATATTTTCTGTTCAATGTTCATACCATTTTCAGGCTTAATTGTTTGAATGATTCAAAATTTTGTTTGTTCAATTGAATTCTAACCTAAATCGATATCCAACTGCAGGAACAATGAATGTCCTGCTTGCCGCACACACTGTGCCAGTCGGCGTTCTTTGAGAGATGACCCGAACTATGATGCCCTAATTGCTGCTTTATATCCTGATATTGATAAATATGAAGAAGAGGTATAAATTGCATTCCTTATTTACTCATTCATATGTTTTTCATATTGTTTTGCAAATTGAAAAGTAATGTACTGAGTATTTGTCCTCAGGAATTGGCCTTTCATGAAGAAGAAAGAACTCGCAATAAGCAGGTCAGAGGCCACGGTACACTTGTAATCCTGCATGCTTGCAGATCTCTGCATTTGTATTTTATTGTTTGGCTTGCATGCATGGTTTCCCTTTTAAATTTTAGGTTAATAATTACAAATGCAAGAAAAAAATTCGTGGTGTCCTATAATATGTGTTATTTTTCTGATTAATGAATTAGAATATCTTAAATAAATAAGCTAAAAATTTTTAGTTTCAAGATGAGAATACAATTGAACTGGTGGCCTGAGCTTGGCTTGAAGCTTGCCAAGTGTTCTTTAAGTCAAGCTTGATCGTGTATTTTGGCCTGAGTTGAGTTCCAGCCCATGCTCAAGCACTCGTATCACACAAGTGATTTGAGCAGGAAAAGCCTCTACTACTCAGTTCAGTTTGTTTACTGTCCTAAGTCCTAGAGAACTCCTGGAGACTGACCTATCCACTCATTATTGTCATTGCTTGAAATTCAGTTTTCAGATTGCATCCCATGCTTTTGCATGGGAAGATAACTAGATAACCGGTTTAACTTAAAAAGCTTTGTTGGATAGATTCAAGCATCAATTGCCCAAATATTTCAAAGACAATCAGAAGCACTGGTTAAGAGACGCACACAGGGTAAAGATACACTTGGTGCATTTATGACAAGACCGCAGCGAAATTCTCGTAGTGCTCATTTTAGACTGAGAAGAAACTGCCGAGGCACTGAACACCAGGGATCTGAAGACAATGAGGATGATCATGATGATAATGCTGGCAAAGAATCATCTTCTACTGATGAGCGCTGTACAGAAGTTCGGCCTAGAAGGCGTAAGAGACGACGAGGAACTTGGCCATCCCAGCCTTCAACATCAGCAGCAAACTCAGATGGTGCATGCATTGAGAATGATATAGAAGTGGGTAGAGATAGTAGAGGAATATCTCCTGGACTTGTTTGGAACCCGGAAATGCTTGCTTGGGGCAGGGGCGGTGCTCGGAGTAACACACGACATGGCAATGCTAGTGGTTGTAATAATAAGAGTTTGCGAAGTGCCCGCTTAAATAGGCTGGTAGAATATCTCCGGGGATTACATGAAAATAATGATGAGGTATAATAGGATGCTGTGGGACTTTAATCGAGCATAAATTATGTCAATCATGGTTCTCACATTCCACAATTGATATTGTTGCTGAAGAATCTTTCAGTAATCTCTGGAATGTCCTGATCTAATTTAGTAGTTCTTTTTCCAGGCATGTTTGTTCACATCCTCTGTAATTAAAGCCTATGCTCCTTTCTTGCAGCTAGATGTTTATCTCAGGCTTGTTTCTCTGGACAACCAAAGTACACCAAGTTTGCAGCAGCCTTACCTTTGTTGTCGGCCCACTTTGTCAGTTAAAAAGCTTTGTGAAGTGAGATTCCTCACCCAGCTCGTCAATTCTTAAAAACAACTACTTTAATGAAGTAAAATGACTAGGTTTTGGAAATTCTACCTACACTATACTTACTCTCTCCACTTCAAAATCTAACAAAATTTCTGTTTTTCCCCTTTCCTATCTGGTGCTCATAAAATCTTGTGGATGTATACAGTATGTCTCACTCCAGACACCTTTGCGAGCGGAGGAAGTTGAAATATTGGTAGTAAAAGAGCAACTCAATACCATTGGTAACCTGTCCACCCCAAATCCTTCAACAGATAAGCTGCAGATTTTGGAAGGCCAAGAAACTTTGGCAGGGCTAAGAGTCAATTGCACTTCCAATAAGGATCATCTGGTGAGCATAAATATATTGATGTTAATTTGTGTATCTTGCTGTATGCAAACATATGGACATCTCATAGTAATCCTTTCAGAACAATTTCCTCCTAATAGAAAATTTCAAGTCAAACCCAAAAATTGCCGAAATGGTAAGTTCATAGAAACAAAATTATGCACATTTCATATGTGTTTTTTTATTTTTATTATTATTGAAAATGACACTATTTTCTCATGAGTCCATCGAGAGCTATGCAGATAATGATTTCATCTGCACTTAGTTTTTCAGCTGCCTCTAACTTTATCTGTGTTGTCTTCCCCTATTTCAGATTTTAGCATATAGGCGGAAGCAGAGTAGCTAGCAAAGTTTTTGGGAGTTACAGATACGAAGGTCTGACTAATTTGTTTGATGAAGATTGTAATGTAGTGTTACAATCTCAAGACATCTCATCAATTGAAGCATTGTTTTCTGATCTTTCCACCTGTATGGAGAGTTAAATTAACCGTTTAAGCATTATTTTCTCATGAATGGATAAAAATTCCCTTTGTTTATTAATTTGGCCTGCAATTTTTGACATTGAAAGTTTTGAAGTTGTATTCACTTTGAAAGTTAATTTCAGATTTGGTTGCCTTCTCGTTATAGAGTTTGTGTTATTCCAGCTTTGGTTGCCTTCTCGATATAGAGTTTGCGTATTTGCTTTTCCCGGATGGGTTCATTTTTTGAACGCAACAGATGCCAGATTTTCTGAACTTGGGGCTTCGCAACGTTCGTAAATACTTGGGGATTTGCAAAATAATGTGATTCTCCTCATAAAATTGAAAATAGTGTACATACATTACACTTAAAAAAACATTTTGCATGATACATATTCCTTTACAAGTTCAAGAGTTCTTGAACAGCTTCCAACATTCAAGAACTACAACCAAATCACCTGTGAGCTGTAGCGCTGGAAATTACTGTTGCAAGCAGCATTTTTCTTCGTTCTTTTCTCTGGATTACTCGCAACTTCGGTGACTTTGGTTTCGTTGATTCTTTAGAAGACCTATTATGTGACATATCAATCAGTCAGTGGGGAAAAGACCCAAAAAACAGAAAGAAAAAAAGACAAAAAAAAAGAGTTTTCCTTACTTCTGTGGGCAAAAAGGTTGGTCGAAATTAGGCACTGGTCTTGCATGAGGAACTAATGTCCTTCTCAACTGTTTCAATGCCTTCTCTTCCTCCATCTGTGGGATATCAGTCAACACAATTGAGGATCAAAATTTAAGGCAATACTCAAAACAACAATGGTAATTCTTATAAATATCAGAATCATACCATCCTTGCAGCCTCGGTCTCCTCTCTGTATCTCTTATACATCATTTCCTTCTCCTTAATCTGTAAATTAACTTTATTAAGTAGTTGAGCAATTGCCTAGTTATGTTCAATCATAATGAAACAAATTTTACCTTCTGATCAAATTCTGCTCTCTCCGCAACGCGATGCTCTAAATGAAGATTAAAGCCCTTGACTTCTGTGAGGGGTTTACGTACTTTCTCTGGAACGGGAATTGGATCCCTACAAGAAAAGACGTTATATGAATTTAAAAATCTTAAAATCCTTCAACTGTATGCTAGATTATTCATGTGCCATGAACAACTTACTCTTGCAGGACTGGCTGTGCCTTGAACATCCTCATCTGGGCTTCATCTTTTTCCTNAATCACCTGTGAGCTGTAGCGCTGGAAATTACTGTTGCAAGCAGCATTTTTCTTCGTTCTTTTCTCTGGATTACTCGCAACTTCGGTGACTTTGGTTTCGTTGATTCTTTAGAAGACCTATTATGTGACATATCAATCAGTCAGTGGGGAAAAGACCCAAAAAACAGAAAGAAAAAAAGACAAAAAAAAAAAAAGAGTTTTCCTTACTTCTGTGGGCAAAAAGGTTGGTCGAAATTAGGCACTGGTCTTGCATGAGGAACTAATGTCCTTCTCAACTGTTTCAATGCCTTCTCTTCCTCCATCTGTGGGATCGGTCAACACAATTGAGGATCAAAATTTAAGGCAATACTCAAAACAACAATGGTAATTCTTATAAATATCAGAATCATACCATCCTTGCAGCCTCGGTCTCCTCTCTGTATCTCTTATACATCATTTCCTTCTCCTTAATCTGTAAATTAACTTTGTTAAGTAGTTGAGCAATTGCCTAGTTATGTTCAATCATAATGAAATAAATTTTACCTTCTGATCAAATTCTGCTCTCTCCACAACGCGGTGCTCTAAATGAAGATTAAAGCCCTTGACTTCTGTGAGGGGTTTACGTACTTTCTCTGGAACGGGAATTGGATCCCTACAAGAAAAGGCGTTATATGAATTTAAAAATCTTAAAATCCTTCAACTGTATGCTAGATTATTCATGTGCCATGAACAACTTACTCTTGCAGGACTGGCTGTGCCTTGAACATCCTCATCTGGGCTTCATCTTTTTCCTTCTTCTTTCTTTCTTCCATTTCCCTTTGCATTTCGTCTTCATGTCTCACTAGACTTTCTAATTGAAAAGGTTCGGGTTTTGTGTATTGCTTGGGCTCTGGTTTTGGTGGAATCTACATAAAAAGTGGTGGTTAAAACAAACTTCATATATGTTTGAGAGGTAAAGCTGACTTGAAAATAGATGGAACGGATGGAGTCTTGGGCTCTGTACCACAGGATAGTCAGTTGTATAGGGGTAAGGATTAGCTTTGCGAATCCTAGCTCTTTCCTCTTCCAATTGTTTGTGCACAACTTCCACCACGAATTTCCTCTCCTTTTCAGCCCCTCTTTCCTGAAGTCGTAAAGCCACAAGCAAATAAGAACACGAGTAAATCATAAAGATTCTGTTGTCCTCCCATCAACCATGGAAATTAATGAACCTACCTCTGTGTATAGATGGAATGGATTTGGTTTTGTATTTCTTGGAAGTGGTTTGTCATATCGAGGTTCTGAGTTCAAAGACAACTGAAAGAAAAAAGGACATCATATGAATAACTGCCATTACTGTTTTTAAAGTGCTCTAGTAAATTCAAGAGGTGCACCTCCATTTCAGTGTACCTTATCAAACATATCAACCACAGCAGCAGCTGGCGGGATCCTCTCATTTATACTGAAATGAAATTCTTGGGGTTTGGTCACATGTTTCTTTGCGTTACAGAAAATCCCCAATTCCCCTTTGCTTTCAAATATCTACGCATAAAATCCCCGATTAATCATTTTTTAATTTATAATGGAAAGTAAGGTCAAAAGAACTGCCCATTACATAGAAAGTAATGGAGCCCCACCTTTTTATTTAGAGGCCTTGCCTTAAACTTTGGGGCCTTCTCAAGTTCTTCCAGCTCAAGTTCTGCAGAACTTTTAACTGTTGGTGGACGGGCTCTCAATAATGTATTTAGTGCAGGGCTTCTAGGTTCAGTAAGGCAAGGTTTCCATTGTTTCTGCTGTTAAGAAATTGAAGAAATGTAGTGAGTACTGAACCAGTTCCACAAGGACAGAAAAATGAACCAAGTATCAGGATATAGCTCAGTACCCGACGAGAAACTTCGGTTGAGGCCACGGAAGATGTTTCCGTGTTTTGATTGGCCCTAGCCATTGTCTCCAAATGGAACTCCTGTGACAATTAAGAAACATGCGGCCAAATTAAGAATACTAATTGTCATTGTTCTTTTTCATTCATCAGGTTTTCCACAGTATAGCTTACCTGAAATTCCGTAGGTTGTCGCGTACTTCTAGGTGGTGCAGGTAAGGTTGGAGCTTCCATAATCTGTAATGGAAACAAGAAGAAAAAACTGGTAAGTAAACAGTGAACTAAATTAACACATATCGAGGAAACTGAACAAGCGGAAAAAAGAGTACCTTTTTGTTCAGTGGGCGAGCTTTGAACTTTGGAATCTTAGCCATCATCTCTTCCTCAAGCTCAGCTGTACTCTTAACCCTGACTGAGCGGACTCTCTGAGATGTTTCCAGTTCAGGTTCCTTAGGCCTTGTCAGTGTCAGTGCCTTCTTCTGGATAACGGAAACGGGATTTGGGAAACAAAGAAGGGTGACAAATTCGAAAATGTAGAAAAATGCAAGAAAAAACAACACGGGCAAAAAAAGTGGAAGCCATGTACGTGTGGAAGATGTTTCCAATTCACTTACATGAACGTGTGGCAGTGACAAGTCTCTAGTACTAGAATTGAACTTTTTCATCATCTCAGCCATTGAAACAAATGGTAGTTCCCGCTCGCGAACATAAACCTTCATGATAAAAAGGCATTTAGTGAGACCGTCAACCATCAATCCTGTAAACATTTCGCAATCTAAGATAGCTCAAACACAACAAACCTTTCTATCCTCTTTGTTAGATTTACTAGCAACCGAGGTGCAAAAGCTGGAACTGCTTCTAGTGAGACCCAATTTGGACTTGTGGGGCAAATTTTGGGGCTTGACATTTAGAATCTGATTAAGGGAAGCAGACACCCCAAAAGAAACAAGAAAAAAAGAAAAGTTAAGTTGGAACAAAAAATTAACGAGGCAAAAAGGAAAAGTCATGAAAAAGAATAGCCAACCGAAGAGTCACAAATGACAGTCTGTAGTAAGAGCAGTAGAAAGTCACCTGTCTGGATCTCCCACTGTCAAGCTTCTGCCTCTTAATGGCTTGGTTTTCCAGAGCTAAACTGGGAGTGCCTGCAACATTTTTTGCATTTGTGTCTCTGCAAGTATGAGTTGAGTGAGAGTCAGTAAAATAACAAAAAATCAAATGAACACATATCAACACATACACACACTATTAAGACTAAATATATATCAACCTCTTAGCTTGTGCTGACTTTAACTGATTTTTTGGCTTCAGTGATGATGGGTTTTTAATTATACTAGCTATCTTTTTAGCTGTCTGTTGCTTCTTGGAATCAATCGCTCCTTTTTGAGAAGGGATTAATGGTTTTGGGGTGCAGAATTCTGCTCCCACCTGAACAGAGGATTTACTCTTCTCTTCATCACCAGCCGGTTCCATATTCAGAGTGGAAGATGCCGTTCTATCCAAAAACACTCAAATCAGCACAAAGAAAAGCAAAACAGAAAAAGGAAAAAGAGGTTGGATTTACATAGCTCTACTTTATACTAGCAATTCTTTGTCTAAACAAATCTCTAGGAACAAAAATAAAGGGTAACAAACCTTCCATTTTCTTGCGTGGATACAGTTCCAGCCAAATCTTCACAGGCATCCGTAGCAACAGAAACCTGAAAGGAAATTGAATTATGACAAGACAACAAAAACTGAAGAAATATAAATCGAATGTAAAAAAGGTGATTACCACATTGACAAGGTCTCCATTGTGTTCTTCCTTTGCCTCAGTGGGAGTCACTTCAACTTCCTTTGTTTCAGCAGAAATAAGCTCGGGTTGCTGCTTCATTTCTGAGGGACAATTAGTAGCATTTGAATCTGATGACTCTGAGGCCTGTAACACAAAAAAATTGACCAAATTAAATCTCAGAATTGTTTATTCCAGATTCCGAATCACAAAACAAGGATAATGACTCATAACCTTCTGAATTTGGTCTGCTGCTTCACTAAAATTGCATAAGCTCTCAACCTTAAAAGATCTATCCGTCTTAATTCTTGGCATAAAAGCTGGACAAATAAGAACCAAACAAGGTCTCAAAGTCAAGTTGACTGCAATTACTTAGAATTGTTCAGCAATACACATAGAATGGTAGACAAAGAAACTGAAACTAGAATTTTCATCATCTGAAGACCTATAAAACTAATCCAACACAATTATTTCAACTTTCATTGCTAATACCACAACAGATTCATTTGATGGATAATGAACTATGGAGCAAAATCATAATTCTAAACCTTATACTTTAAATCCTAAAACTGAACCTAATTAAGCCTTGGTTAACTCACAAATTTTTTATTACATCTCCGATGTTTCCCACATTTTCTATGCGAAAAAAAAAAAAAAAAACGAATATATTCTCCTACTAATCCATGACGTTGTTACAGTTAGCATGAAATGTCGTATAATAGATTCAAAAACAAAAGAGAAAATTCTATTTTGAAACATATAATCTACTAGTAATTCTACTGTGACTTAAATCTTTAACCGTAATCCTAATCTTTATCTTAGACATGCAAACCCTAACTCTGTACTACTGATCCACTGAATAACGGACTCACAATAATATTAAAAAGACACAAAATTTGAATTCCTTGATCCACAAACCCTAAAATTGAGAGAGCAAAAACACACTAAATAGCAATTCAAAGATTTTCAAGAACCATCAATCTTTAAATTCTTGATTCAATCTCTTGTAATGGGAAAAGACAAGTGTAAAAAAAAAAAAAAAAAGAGCAACGAAGAAGAATCGTACGGGAGGGCGCGTAGCTGAGAGCTTTATCAAACCAGAGTTCGGCTTTCTGCATTTCTTCATCGGATTCTCCTTTAATGAAGTCGAAGAATCGGGGAGCCGAGAACTCGTAAGTCTCGTCTATCATCACCATCATTGTCGGTTCCTCCACCACGGACATTGTTGTTGATTCCGTTGAGGTTTAGTTTTTGGGATAGAGAAAGAGAGCGCGAGAGAAGAAAAGGAAATCTTTTGGTGTTGTAAATGAGAGATCACAGGATGCGGGGAGATATGAGAAAAAATGGAGAGGAGTGGAGAGTGGAAAGAAGTAATAACGTTCGGAACTCAACGGTCGAATTTTTGAAATTGGGGTAGGAGTGCAACGGCCATGTAATATAACACTTCGCTCTGCTTAGTTGTGTTTCTAACGGCTATATTTCTCTGTCCGAGCCATTTACAACGCTGCCGTTTTAACGCTTTTTTTTTTTTTTTTTTTTTTTCAGAAAAAGGAAAAAATCTTTTTTTTTCTTCATTAATACTTGAATACATGTACCCAACAAACCCACGGCTACAATACATCACCACACAACATCTTAGTGAACCAATCTGAGGACTAAAGGCTTATAAATGTTAAAAATATATTTTTAATACGAAGTTAAAACTTAAATTCATATCATATTATTATTATGATTGATTGATTGATTATAAATCTAGTAATGATCTGTTATATCATTTATTTTACAAGCTTAGAAAGAGATGACAATTGTAAAGAGTTTTTATTTAAATAGACCAAGAGAATTCTGGAAATTTTTTTGTGAAGAACTCCAACTTTGAATTAAGCACAATATTATATATGTATAAAACTTTGCTGTCTCACATTATGAGTAATGCTATGCCATCAACCTTTTTTTACAAACTTCTCTTACAACCCCTGACCTGGCAGTTGAATTGGCATTGTCACGCCAAAATTAACCAAAGAAACGGTCGTCACTTATGAAAGAATGACCGTTCCTTATGAAGGAACAACCATTCGAATGATTGTTCTTTATGAAGGAACAACCATTCCTAATGAAGGGAACAACCATTCTTTTTGTCGTTCCTTCAAGTTGTTCCTTAGAAAAGAACGATCGTTCCTTCATAAGTAACTAACTTTTCTTCTGAAGGAACGACCGTTCGTTTTTAGTAGTGCCTTTGGTGTCTTGGGTGTAGTGGGAGTTGACATGACATTACTAATCTGCTGACATGTTAGGGTTGTAAGATAAGGTTGTGAGACTGCGTTGTAAATGTATTATTTTTCCTCACATTATATATAAATTTAGGAGTGTTTATGTGATTTTTCCAAGTAAATCTCTTCTCAAGTCTTTTTTGTATAATCAAACTAACCAATTATCCAATTCAATAAATATTGGCTCACAACCCAATCTTATAAACTTTCTCTTACAATCTCGACATGGTAGCTCGTAATTGAGTAGACGAGACCCATTGCGAGCTGATCAATTACGAACTATTATGTTGAAGTTGTGAGAGAAAGTTTGCGAGATTGAGTTGTAAGTGAGCATTGCCCTTATCCAATTAACTAGTTCTTGTTTGTTCAATTAATTGCTCAATTTGAACTACATTAAGATATAAATAGTGTATATTCAAGAACTATAAAACTATAAGAAACTATTTATAATTGTACCCTTTTAAATTCTTATACTGATCTATTCAACGAGTTAATTTACAATGAGCTCAATCTGGAAACGAAACTTCTCAGTGATTCAAGGAGCATGAGAATTGCATGGGTGATGCAAGTTGTTGAGCTTGAGTTCCCTGATATAGAGTTGTCAACGACTTGGATGCTGCTTGGGTGTTATATTTGTACCCTCTTCTTCACAATCGCAAGCATCAACTTCATGGCCACGACCGCTTTGCTGTTAATTAGCAATTAATGGGTTGCCATATTAATCTTGCTTGGTTTTTAACACTCTTCCTCCTTTTGGTTTTTGAGTCAGCCATGGCTGACCCTTCATGTGAGATGGTTTTTGTGTCCTTCCCTTATTGCTTGGAGTTTCTGATGGGTTTGTATTACAAACCATCAACCAAGTGCTGTAACCACATCAAGAAACTAAATACAGTTGCAAAACAAAGCGAGGGGAATGTGAGGCTATTGTGCAATTGCATTGAGAGCATGGTGAGGGAAATGCAACCTCCACTGCAAGCCTCTCGTATTCGGCAGCTTCCATACCAATGCAACACACATCTTAGTTTTCCCATTTCCGAAAGCATGGACTGTTCCAAGTAAATAATTTAAAAAAAAAATTAACCTTCTCTCTCTTACTATAGTAAAATCTAACTACTTTTCAATTTATTGCAAGGGATTGAAAATTAAAGTAGTATTTGGGAGCCCTTATGGAACTGCTAGTGTCAAGTTAATGAATTAATTAAGCTTGCTTTGTGGTGGTATTGTAATGGTCTGTTATAAATAAATATTATGAAATGGAATAGAATTGTATCCATAGTTGTAGTCTTGCGTTTTAAGCAGGGGATGAGATAGAAAAAGTGTAGAATGGATGTGGTACAAAAAAACTCTCCCATCTGCTATTGATTAGGTTCATGAAACAACTATGAATCTAATTGCTCAAATGATTCAACCATGACACGATCTTTCAGCCCTCATGCTGCAACAATGACATGCTACAACAATGACATGCTTAATTTTTCAAAATGTTAAACCATCATGATCTCACAATCTCAGTGATTCACGGAAGCATGATATATATGTACATGTTAACAAAGCTTATCAGCAAACTAACAAATGCACTGGTTTTGATTGTAAATAGTGGATAAATTATGCTATGCGTGATTTTGACACCAACGACTGTACACATGCAAAATGCTAAGAAGTTACACGTGAGGTGGTTATGAGAGTGTTTATGGTGCAGTAATGATATTTGTTTGTTAATATGTAAATAAAAAATTTACAAGAGAGATTTTTTGAGTGGTTCGGATGCTATGAGCAAGTCCTAAATCCACTGTGATTGTATTTATGGTTTCCTCTATTCTCGTTATTGAGGAATACAAAGGGAGCGATCTCTCAAGGTTACAAGATTGAAGTGTTCTAAGAGAGAACAAGTCATTCTCTTTCTAGTAGTGTGTCTTTGCTATTTTTTTCTATAGAATAAGTGTGAGAATAAACTCCCTTTTGAGGAGGGAGAGCTGTCTATTTATATTCTTTTTAGCTCAATGTAATGAGTGCTTTTGCAAGTTATCCCAATTTGGTGAAGATCTTCCTTCATTCTGATTCGTTGAGAGCTTTCATCCGTATCCTTAAATTTAATGAAATTACAACATTTGCCTGCACAAAATATCCTTCTAAATTGGTTTAAGGTCAGACAACTAATATAGTTTTGTCTTCAAGTGCTTGATGAATCCTGATTGGTGGAGATGCATGCTAAGATCTGATTGGTGGAGAAGTCTATTGCATCTTGATAGGTGGAAATGACGTTAGCATATCATTTAGTCATAACACTAGTAATTATGTAAGATAATCAAGTGTTTATGCTTTGAGAGAATGCCTTGCTTTTACTAAAGGAGAAACTTGGCTTAAATAGCCTTTACAACATTGGAAAAACAGAAAGATAAACCCATGACTAACAACTCCTAATTTCATGGGATTTTTCTAAGGAAACGTTTAAACACAAAGACTAATTCAAACACTAATCTAGTTTCCTCAAGAAGAGGGATTATTCAACTAAAACAAACAAACAAGAAACTAATATCTTCACATCCTCCCTTAAACTGAATCAGATTAAGTATTTAGTCTACACATGAACTTAAACAAACTCCAAGTAGGTTGCGTATCTTCAGGAAAGCTTTTAGTTTTAATGGTTTTGTGAATATATCAGCAATCTTCTCTTGACTTTTGCAATGACTCAGCTTTACCACTCCATCCTTGGTGAGATCATGAAGCAAATGAAATCGGATATCTATGTGCTTGCTCCTCCCATGCATCACATGATTATTGGACAACTTAACTATTGAGCTGTTATCACGAAAAATTTGAGTAGCTTCACGTTGAGGAAAACATAACTTTTCAGGCAATCCCCTCATCCAAACCGCCTGACATGCACACGAAGCTACAGCTATAAACTCTGCTTCAGTAGTTGATAGAGTGACCATAGGTTGCTTTTTTGATAACCAAGCCACAACCGCTGAACTAAACATAAAAGCATACCCTGAAGTACTCTTTCGATCCTCCAAGTCACCACTATAGTCACTGTCACTGTATCCTACCAAATTTGCTTATGATTTTCTTTTATAGATCAATCCAAAATCGATAGTCCCCTTTAGATAACGCAAAACTCTTTTTGCTACTTGGAAATGTAGCTTTGTAGGTGATTCCATAAATCTACTAATGAGGCTCATTATAAACATTAAATCAAGTCATGTGGCTGTTGAATACATTAAGCTCCCCACAATTTGTTTGAAGTGAGTGCTATCAACCTTTATCCCATCAACATCTTTGGTGAGCTTAGTTCCTAGTACAATCGGAGTTTGGACATAATTGCAGTTGCCCATTTGAAATCTCTCAAGCACTTCCTAAGCATACTTCTTTTGCCCAATGAAGATCTCACTCGTTGTTTGCTTCATCTCAATACCTAGGAAATAGTGCATCTTCCCTAGTTTTGTCATCTCAAATTCAATCATCATGGAGTTCTTAAATTCATCACACATTTCCTCATCATTTCCAATATATATAGATCATCCACATAAAGACATATCACCAAGATTTTACCTCTTTTTCATGCTTGATGAACAATGTGTGTTCATATGGACACTTCTTGAAACCCGCCTTTGAGAAGTAAGTTTCTATACAACTGTACTAGCTCTAAGAGCTTGTTTCAATTCGTATAAAGCTCTTTTTAATTTGAATATCTTCTGCTCTTTTCTCTTCTGTACATATCCTAGAGGTTGATCTACAAACACCTACTCATTTAGTTCTCCATGCAAGAAAGCTGATTTTACATCAAGTTGGTAGATAGACAAGTTGTTTTGAGCTGCCAAGGATATCACAAACCGAATTGTATCGAGTCTAACTACAAATGGAAACACATCTGCATAGTCTACTCCATACTTTTGTGTGTAGCCCTTAGCCACCAACCTAGCTTTGTATTTGTCTATCTCTTCATTTTCTTTGAGTTTTGTTTTGTATATCCATTTCACTCCAATGGTTTTTTCTCCTACTGGCAAATCAATAAGTTCCCAAGTATTGTTTTTCTCAATTGCTACAATTTCTAAATCCATGGCCTTCCTCCATTTTGAGCTTCTCACAACATCATTAAAGGTGATCGGATCATTGTCACAAATAGAGTAAGTTGAGCATAATTTCCATCATCAGATAACTCATCACCACTCACATAATTTGTCAACCATGTTGGAGTTCTCCTTATTCTTGGATCTCTGGTTCTGTGCTCATTTGAGTTGTCTTCAGATGACTCATTTTCTGACTCTATGTCTATTGAAGACTCATTTTCTAATGAAGCACTTTCTGATGCTCCTGATATGATGTCTTCAGTTGTGTTTTTTTTAGTAGGATCAAAAGCAACAACAATCTTTTTCCCTTCATCTGTCCAGTCCCAACATTTCTTTTTATCAAAGACCACATCTCGACTGATTACAATCCTTTTGGTAACTAGTTATACAGCCTGTAAGCCTTGAACTCCTCACTAATTCTGAGCATGACACATCGTATGTTTTTTTCATCAAATTTGCTCCATAGATTATCATTCACATGAGCATATGCTAAGCAACCAAATACTTTGAAATGAGCAACCCTTGGTTTGTCCCCACATCCCTCTTCTAGAATGACATTCTTCACAGTAACTGTTGGGCATCTATTTAGAATGCGAACACTCCAATTCACAGCTTCAGGCCAAAATGTTTTTGGCACTTTCATCCTTGCAAGCATGCAACGTACCATATTCATAATGGTGCAATTTTTCCTCTCTAAGACACCATTTTGTTGTGGTGTATAAGTTGAAGTTAACTACCTATGAATACCATTCACTTCACAAAAATCATTGAAATCCTTGTGAAGTGAACTCTCCTTCACAATTCGTGCGAAATGCTTTAATAGACACCCCAGTTTCTTTCTAAACAATAGCTTTAAACTTCTTAAAACAGGTTATAACTTCAGATTTCTTAGATAAAAAATACACCCAAGTCTTTCTATTGAAATCGTCAATAAAGGTTATGAAATACCTTTTGTCGTTGTTGGAGATGGGTTTAATAGATCCACAAATATCTGAGTGAACCAGCTGAAGTATATGAGACCCTCCAAGTAGGGGTGTTCAAAAGAACTGGCAAGTACCCGGGGTTTGGTTCTGGTTCCTACCCGGAACTGGCTGTCAACGAGTAGGTTCTAGTTCCAAAAATTTGAAACTGACATTTTGCGATTCCGGTTCTTGCAATCAAGAATCAGAACCGAAATCGAAATCGGGAATCGAGTCTAATATTAAGTAACATTAAATTTTTTTTGGGGGGGGGGGGGGGGGGGGGGGTGGGGGGTTGGGGGGTTTTGGGGTTTGTAATTTTGCTATCATAAATAAAAACTTCAAGATTTTAGGGCAAACAAATTTACCCTTACTTCAGTACTTCTCACTGCTTCTGACTCTCTGTTGCTCTCTTCAAGATTTTAAGGCAAATGATTTTAGTCCCAATCCATCCCAAATCCCACACTCTTCTCAAACATTCTCTTCGTTGGGTTTGAAAGGTATGTCACTTTGTGTTTCTCACTTTCCATTTTTCCTTATGTAAAAGAATAAAGATTAAAGAGTGCTTTGCTTGAAGTGGAAACATACGATTTGATGCCATCTCAACTTTCATAAATAAACCCTTTTCAGCATAATAAATTTGACATGTGTTCTTTTGCATGAGAACAACAAATCCTTTTTCTTGTAATTGGCCAAGGTTGATGAGACTGCTTTTCAAATATGGTACATAGAACACTCTAGAGATACAATGCATAACTCCATTCACTCCATTCACTTCAATCTTGATATCTCCTTTTCCTTTGACACCTAAATTGGAATTGTTCCCCAGTTTCTCTTTTCCTTTGAATGTTTCATCAAGATTTGAAAACAACTTTTTATCTCCACTCATGTGATTACTGCAACCAGAATCAAGATACCATAATTTGTTGGAGTAATCATCTTTTACGTTCACATAAGACATCAACAACATTTCTTCTTCAACTTCAGTGAAATTTGCCTTGGTGTCCTTCTCCTTTTGAAGGCATTCATAAGCAAAATGGCCCAGCTCATGACAATTGTAGCACTCGGTAGTGGCCTTGTCAATTCTTCCTCTTCCTCTTCCACGTCCTTTATATCCTCCTCGGCCTTGCCCTCCCCCTCACCCAGGTGAGTGATTATCCAAACTTACTTTCAGGGCTTGTTCTTCTATTACATGGTCCATAGTTCTTTGCTCATGCACAAACAAACTGCTATGCAATTCATCAATCAAAAGATCATTTATCTCATTTGATTCCTCAATAGAGCAAACCATATAACCATACTTTGGTGTCATTGATCTCAAAATCCTCTCAATGACCACCACATCTCCCATATGTTCTCCATGAATTCTTATCTTGTTAGCCACTGTCAGTATTCTTACAAAATAGTCATTGACTGATTCTCCCACCTTCATGTGAACCGGTTCAAACTCTTTATGAAGAGCCTGCAACTGTGCGTGCTTGACCTTAGCCGTGCCTTGGTACTTCTTCTTCATCGAATCCCAAATGTCTTTTGTTGAGTCCTTTAAAATAGTCTCTAGTATGACCTGATCTGTAGCTTGAAATAGATAATTCTTGGTCTTCAAGTCTTTCAACTTCTATTCTTCTAGAGCTTTGGTATGGACATCAATTAAGACAGTTTCGTTAGGATATTGTGTGATCCCACTCTCTACGAGACTCCAATACTCCTTAGACTTCAAGAGATTCTCCATCAGCATGCTCCAATGGTCATAATGGCCATCAAATCATGGGATAACTGGTTGTATGAAGTTACTTCCCTTTCCTACCATTGGTGCTTACTGCTTCTTTGTTGGTCAGGTCCCGTGTAAGAGCTTTGAAACCAAATGTTAGATAATCAAGTGTTTATGCTTTGAGAGAATGCCTCGCTTTTACTAAAGGAGAAACGTGGCTTAAATAGCCTTTACAACATTGGACAAACAGAAAGATAAACTCAGGACTAACAACTCCTAATTTCATGGGATTCTTCTAAGGATTTAAACACTAATCTAGTTTCCTCAAGAAGAGGGATTATTCAACTGAAACAAACAAACTACTGAAACTAATAGCTTAAAAAATTAATCTTGAGTAATGTACTATATTAGCTCAATTGTCACGAACATGGATTAAACCAAACCGTTTAAAGCTTTTATATAGAAGCTAGCTAAAAAATGGCTCGCCTTCTGATGTTTGTTATCTGGTTCTCCTCATGGTTTTTGGATCAACTAGAGCTTAAGAATTCAAGTAGTGCTCGCAAGTGTCAGAATTTGCTTCCATGCGTAAGCTATCTTGCAGAGATGTGTTTTGAACCAAGCAACAAATGTTGCAATCTTTCAGATTTGAGTTGCATGTAATCATATACAAAGAAGTATGATATACATGGTTTTTATTTTATACATACATTCCTTTAGACCACGCAAGAAGGAAAATTATAAAAATGTGGTATACTGCTATATAATAAGTTAGCTGCCAAGGATATCACAAACTGAATTGTATCGTGTCTAGTTACAAATGCAAACACATCTGCATAGTCTACTCCATACTTTTGTGTGTAGCCCTTAGCCACCAACCTAGCTTTGTATTTGTCTATCTCTTCATTTTCTTTGAGCTTTGTTTTGTATATCCATTTCACTCCAATGGTTTTTTCTCCTACTGGCAAATTAATAAGTTCCCAAGTATTGCTTTTCTCAATTGCTGCAATTTCTGAATCCATGGCCTTCCTCCATTTTGAGCTTCTCACAACATCATTAAAGGTGATCGGATCATTGTCAGCAAATAGAGCAAGTTGAGCATAATTTCCATCATCAGATAACTCATCATCACTCACATAATCTGTCAACCATGTTGGAGTTCTCCTTATTCTTGGCTCTCTGGTTCTATGCTCATTTGAGTTGTCTTCAAATGACTCATTTTCCGACTCTATGTCTATTGAAGACTCATTTTCTAATGAAGCACTTTTTGATGCTCTTGATATGATGTCTTCAGTTGTGTTTTTTTTTAGTAGGATCAAAAGCAACAACAATCTTTTTCCCTTCATCTGTCCAGTCCCAACATTTCTCTTTATCAAAGACCACATCTCGACTGATTACAATCCTTTTGGTAACTAGTTATACAACCTGTAAGCCTTGAACTCCTCACTAATTCTGAGCATGACACATCGTATGTTTTTTTCATCAAATTTGCTCCATAGATTATCATTCACATGAGCATATGCTAAGCAACCAAATACTTTGAAATGAGCAACCCTTGGTTTGTTCCCACTCCATGCCTCTTCCAGAGTGACATTCTTGCAACTGTTGGGCATCTATTTAGAATGTGAACACTCCAATTCACAGCTTCAATCCAAAATGTTTTTGGCACTTTCATCCTTGCAAGCATGCAACGTACCATATTCATAATGGTGCGATTTTTCCTCTATAAGACACCATTTTGTTGTGGTGTATAAGTTGAAGTTAACTACCTATGAATACCATTCACTTCACAAAAATCGTTGAAATCCTTGTGAAGTGAACTCTCCTTCACAATCCGTTCGAAATGCTTTAATAGACACCCCAGTTTCTTTCTAAACAATAGCTTTAAACTTCTTAAAACAAGTTATAGCTTCAGACTTCTTAGATAAAAAATACACCCAAGTCTTTCTATTGAAATCGTCAATAAAGGTTATGAAATACCTTTTGTCGTTGTTGGAGATGGGTTTAATAGATCCACAAATATCTGAGTGAACCAGCCGAAGTATATGAGACCCTCCAAGTAGGGGTGTTCAAAAGAACTGATCGGAACAAGAACTGGCAAGTATCCGGGGTTTGGTTTTGGTTCCTATCCAGAATTGGCTGTCAACGGGTAGGTTCCAGTTCCAAAAATTTGAAACTGACATTCTGCGATTCCGGTTCTTGCAATCAGGAATCGGAACCGAAATCGGGAATTGAGTCTAATATTAAATAACATTAAATTGGGGGGGGGGGGGGGGGGGGGGGGGGGGGGGGGGGGTGGTGTTGTTGTAATTTTGCTGTCATATATAAAAACTTCAAGATTTTAGGGCAAACAAATTTACCCTTACTTCAGTACTTCTCACCGCCTCTGACTCTCTATCGCTCTCTTCAAGATTTTAGGGCAAACGATTTTAGTCCTAATCCATCCCAAATCCCACACTCTTCTCAAACATTCTTTTCGTTGGGTTTGAAGGTATGTCACTTTGTGTTTCTCACTTTCCATTTTTCCTTATGTAAAAGAATAAAGATTAAAGAGTGCTTTGCTTGAAGTGGAAACATACGATTTGATGCCATCTCAACTTTCATTAATAAACCCTTCTCAGCATAATAAATTTGACATGTGTTCTTTTGCATGAGAACAACAAATCCTTTTTCTTGCAATTGGCCAAGGTTGATGAGATTGCTTTTCAAATATGGTACATAGAACACTCTAGAGATACAGTGCACAACTCCATTCACTTCAATCTTGATATCTCCTTTTTCCTTTGACACCTAAATTGGAATTGTTCCCCAGTTTCTCTTTTCCTCTAAATGTTTCATCAAGATTTGAAAACAACTTTTTATCTCCACTCATGTGGTTATTGCAACCAGAATCAAGATACCATAATTTGTTAGAGTAATCATCTTTTACGTTCACATAAGACATCAACAACATTTCTTCTTCAACTTCAGTGAAATTTGCCTTGGTGTCCTTCTCCTTTTGAAGGCATTCATAAGCAAAATGCCCCAGCTCATGACAATTGTAGCACTCGGTAGGGCCTTGTCAATTCTTCCTCTTCCTCTTCCACGTCCTTTATATCCTCCTTGGCCTTGCCCTCCCCCTCACCTAGGTGAGTGATTATCCAAACTTACTTTCAGGGCTTGTTCTTCCATTACATGGTCCATAGTTCTTTGCTCATGCACAAACAAACTGCTATGCAATTCATCAATCGAAAGATCATTTATCTCATTTGATTCCTCAATAGAGCAAACCATATAATCATACTTTGGTGTCATTGATCTCAAAATCCTCTCAATGACCACCACCTCTCCCATATGTTCTCCATGAATTCTTATCTTGTTAGCCACAATTAGTATTCTTGCAAAATAGTCATTGACTGATTCTCCCACCTTCATGTGAAGCAGTTCAAACTCTTTATGAAGAGCCTGCAACTGTGCGTGCTTAACCCTAGCCGTACCTTGGTACTTCTTCTTCATCGAATCCCAAATGTCTTTTGTTGAGTCCTTTAAAATAGTCTCTAGTATGGCTTGATCTGTAGCTTGAAATAGATAATTCTTGGTCTTCAAGTCTTTCAACCTCTATTCTTCTAAAGCTTTGGTTTGGACATCAATTAAGACAGTTTCGTCAGGATATTGTGTGATCCCACTCTCTATGAGACTCCAATACTCCTTAGACTTCAAGAGATTCTCCATCAGCATGCTCCAATGGTCATAATGGCCATCAAATCATGGGATAGCCGGTTGTATGAAGTTACTTCCCTTTCCTACCATTGGTGCTTACTGCTTCTTTGTTGGTCAGGTCTCGTGTAAGAGCTTTGATACCAAATGTTAGATAATCAAGTGTTTATGCTTTGAGAGAATGCCTCGCTTTTACTAAAGGAGAAATGTGGCTTAAATAGTCTTTACAACATTGGACAAACAGAAAGATAAACTCATGACTAACAACTCCTAATTTCATGGGATTCTTCTAAGGATTTAAACACTAATCTAGTTTCCTCAAGAAGAGGGATTATTCTACTGAAACTAATAGCTTAAAAAATTAATCCTGAGTAATGTACTATATTAGCTCAATTGTCAGGAACATGGATTAAACCAAACCGTTTAAAGCTTTTATATAGAAGCTAGCTAAAAAATGGCTCGCCTTCTGATGTTTGTTACTCTGGTTCACCTCATGGTTTTTGGATCAACTAGAGCTCAAGAATTCAAGTAGTGCTCGCAAGTGTCAGAATTTGCTTCCATGCGTAAGCTATCTTGCAGAGATGTGTTTTGAACCAAGCAACAAATGTTGCAATCTTTTAGATTTGAGTTGCATGTAATCATATACAAAGAAGTATGATATACATGGTTTTTATTTTATACATACATTCCTTTAGACCACGCAGGAAGGAAAATGATAAAAATGTGGTATACTGCTATATAATAAGTTGATTTTAACTCTATTATGATTTGGTTTAATCATTTTGAATATATAATTGACAAAAAGATGTTGAATATCATTTTCAATTTTTATTTGATTTAGTCCATTACTAGTAATTTTACAATTTTGATTGAAATGTTTTGCATGTGCTGAAATGGAAATGTATGTATATATGTATAATAATTAATTGGATTTATTCAACTACTGTATATATAAAATCAAAATGGAGCAGCCATCGTGTATTCACTTGCATGTGAATTTCTTATCATCACTGCCTAGTCCTCGTTATATATGTTGAACGGTTATAATATTCTTCATAAAGAAAAGTAAATATTAATTCTTAAAAATCTAAAAACAAGGTTTACTAAAATTTTGTTCAAATTAAACATGAATGATATAATTTAATCAATAAAGCCATGATTTGGAATTGGTTTATTATACACAAGTTGTAATTTAATTATCAATTAAACGACTCCAAGCTATGAATAAGTAAAAAAATGTGATTTTATTAGAGGTCTTAAGAATGGTGTTGAAGAAGGTTAGTTTAGATTCTTAAATGAAGGCGCCACCAAATCAACCTAATGCTATGATATATATTTCCAAGCCCACCAACAAACTAATTAACAACTGAATTTTGTATGAGAAATGTTAGCCTTACGAAGATGCATACAAAGACAAATCCTACCCTTAATCTTTATGATTGTCTTTCTCTTTCTCTCTTTTTTCTTTTTTTCAAGGGTTGGATTTATCTTTGTATACCCCTCTTTGTAAGAGTAGCATTCCTCATTGTGTATTGTCATCAGCTGACTAACAATTGCACGCTAATGGATCATCTTCCTTGATTATGAGTTGGCCCAATCAATTTTAAACATTATATGAAATAAGAAGAATAAAGGATTATATTCTATGTGTGAATTAGATGCTTCTTACCCTAATAGAATCCATTTTATTAAAATAATAATTAACATAAATATGCTTTATTTTTTAACTCTTATTAATCTCTATAATATTAGGTGATCAAATATAATAACATCGATGCATGCATCCAACATCTTGCCCTTCCCTCTTACATGTGTCAAGAACCCCTTGATTGTTAATAGAAATTAAATTTATTTTTATTCGTCCTTGAGATAATATATTTTACAAATTTTCCTAATTTATATTCCTACATACAAATAAATAGAATTCAAATTAGAAGTTTAATTAATAGATAGAAACACATGACATTAAGGTGCGTTTGGATGTAGGTATTTAACATTACTCCAGTAATGTTATATTATATTATTTACATTAATATAAGATTTTAGTAATTCTCAAATATCAATAGTAATTATTGTTGGTTATATAAGTAGTAATCTGATTACTACATTTTTCTTAAGTATTCTGAGATTATTTGATAATCTCATTTTTGTTATAATTTTACCCTTTATTAATATATTTTTAGGACAGTAATGCCCTTGTTATGTAAACAATTTACAAGAATTTTAATAGACAATTTTAACCTTATATACAAGATTTCTAGGACATTATTGTCCTTGTACTTCAACCAAATTACCCAAGATCATAGCCAAATCTGGCCACCGGCGATAGTCACCAAAATGACGCATGACTGGCTAAATCTGACCGGTCATGCGTCGATCTGACCGTTTCTAGCTAGATCAATGCCCGTGGATTCGGAGGAAATCGCCAAATCCATGATTGTTTTCAGTCATTGATCTGGTCGAATCGACTCACGGTTGACCATATCTGGCTGGTTGTGCGCCGTTCCGCTGACTACCAGCGGTAGCCAGCGATGGTGGTCGACGGCCGGCAATGGCTTGGGTGGATGGGGATATTTTTGTTAAACTTTAAACTTATATTATGATTGGGGTGTTTTAATAAAATTTTAAATATATGGAGTTAAAAAATAATCTAAATGATAATAATAATGATATTAAAAAAGAAAAACAATTCAATAATTGATATAATATATCTTCTAATTTATATTAATCTAATTAAACACATTTAATATAATATTCTCAATAATCTTTAAAGCAATCTATCTTATAACGTTGGATGCACGAATAGCAGTTTACATATTAATTAAGTAGAAATAACGAAATTTATCAACTCCCTAAAGCAAAGTTCACCGAACCTTGAAATCATGCCTAGTTATCGGGGATAGTGTTAATAAATTAATAAACAAGGTAACGCCAACATTGAACATAAATTAATTGATTAACCATTCTCCTAATCCGCCTTATTATAAAGAGATAAACATTAATGACCAATTGGAGGAAATAAATATCCAGTTGGCAATATCAATAATTGTCCAACTTGTCACACACAGTGACTTGTTTGACTAACAGGAATTATTTGCAACATTTAATTATTTTGAGAAAAGAAAAGTCGTCGGCAAGAACGCGTTGTTCAATTGTAATGGCTGTATTTCTAAAGTCAAACAAACAACGCCTTATTTATGTACCATCACTTTTTCATTTTCACAAAACTTTTCTTCTCTCTCAAACACCATGACTGGCCGAGAAATTCTTCAAAAGATCAAGGTATGTTCAACTTAATTAACTTTTAATCACGTAATTAATGTTCTTCAGTTAATCAACTTAAGAAATGAATTTCGATTCTCTGCTGCTCAAGTTTCGGATTTAGTTTGATCTTCTGCAATTCATGTATAAATGTGTTTGAGTTTTTTGACGTTTTGGCTGATGTTACTTCTTGGAAAGTAATAAGGACTTGAAGTATAGAACTATAGATGCTTTTCCAGAGAGTGATTTCTATCTAGGCATTAGCTAATGAAGCTTTAGTTTTGATTTTCTTGAAATTTGTGGAAGCTGTCACTGTTTTTGTGTCTGTGGATTCCATAGAGGAAGTTTAGTTTTTTTGAAAATCGTTAACTTGAATTATGTGGTTTCATTGTTTATATTTTTTATCTTCAGGTTAAGGCTTTTGGTTCGTCTGCAGCTGATACAGGGAAAGGGAAGAGTAAAGTTTTAAAGCATATCACGCATGGCTTTCACTTAATGAAGGGAAAATCAAACCATGCCATGGAGGATTACCTAGTTTCAGAATTCAAGCAAGTACATGATACTGAGTTGGGCTTATTTGCTATATTTGATGGCCATTTGGGCCACGATGTAGCAAATTATTTGCAAACTCATCTGTTTAATAATATTTTGAAAGAGGTACTCATGTCTTCTGATTTTTCTAATATTTTCATTAATCGGTTTACGGTTTTCAGTAGGTATTATCATTACCTCCTGTGACTACAAATCTTTCAGGAAGTCATTTGTGATTATATTTCTAATGTTTTGCAAGCAGCACGACTTTTGGACTGAAACAGAAAATGCAATAAGGAAAGCTTATCGTACAACAGATGCTGAAATATTGGAGAAAGCGTTTGTCCTGGGAAAAGGAGGGTCAACTGCAGTAACAGCAATTCTAATTAATGGTCAAAAACTGGTAGTTGCAAATGTGGGAGATTCTCGGGCTGTTATATGTAAGAATGGGGTGGCCAAACAACTATCGGTTGACCATGAACCAAGCAAGGAAAAGAAGAAAATTGAGAGTCGTGGTGGTTTTGTATCAAACATTCCAGGTATCAGGTTTCTTGAAATGCGAACTGGTAGATCTAGTTTTGCTATTAGCTTAGTTTGATCACATGAAATCTTTTGGTACTTGCTGAAAACAAAGAAATAACAAATTTTAGCTGGCTTAAAAAAATTGTCTTTGGATGATCTGTCCTGCTGGAACTTTCTTTTATTAGTGAAACTTTTAAGGTGGAACACTTTTTTCTTGTTTGGAAAAAATGTTCTAATGTATAGAAAATTATTAATTGAAATTGTTTGGCCAGGTTTTCATGTCTCTCAAACAGCCTCATGTGTGCAGATAGGGACTAAAAAAACTTGAAAGTTTTTATCTATATAGTGGTCTTAGAAAATAAGTTCACAATCTATTGCACAGGGGATGTTCCTCGTGTTGATGGGCAACTGGCTGTGGCAAGGGCATTTGGTGACAAGAGCTTGAAAATACACCTTAGCTCAGACCCAGATATAAACGTGGAGATGATTGGTGATGATACACAGTTCATCATTCTGGCAAGTGATGGAATATGGAAGGTCAGTTAAGTTTTTAATGTTGATTATCAACTTCATGTTGTTTTATATCTCCTGACAATAAAACCGGAGGCAAAACTTAGTTTTTAATTAAGGAAAAATCAGAGTGGCCAGATTTTCAGATTTTGAAGCTACTTTTCTCTTTCCACCCTTTTGTTATGGGTAGTTTTAGTTTGAATGTGATTGAAGTTTTGGGTTTTCTGACTTCTCTTATTACCTTACAGGTAATGTCAAACCAAGAAGCTGTGGACTCAATCAAAAACATAAAAGATGCTCAATCAGCAGCAAAGCACTTGATAGACGAGGCTGTTTCTAGAAAAAGTAAGGATGACATATCCTGCATAGTTGTAAAATTGCATTAAATATTTTCTTCGTATGGGTCAATTTCTTTTTGCCTCTGTTCAATGTAAGGAAATTTATTAATTGATTCGCTGTATTACCATATGTAAACTTGTTTTGTAGCAACTGTGAAGATTTGTGGAACTGGTTTCAAAACTCTTGCGTGTACAAATAGAGCATTATAAAAAATTGATTGCTTCAACTTGATACCCTTCTTGTTATGTTAAATTAACGATTTTTATGGGTATTGTCCTGATGCGGTAGCCATTGGGGTGTCTTCTGATTCTTCTTTTAAGCTTGGATGCTATATATATTTTTACTATAATTTTCCTCTTTACCGAATGAAGAAGTTTAAGGATCTGGATAGACCATAACATTTGAGTATGCGGTTTACATTTTTTGGCCTTTCCTTACCTTGCCAGGCCACTTACCCTGGTTGAAGTTATGTCATGACAACAATTTTGTTCATGTTTTATAATCATATTCATTTACGCCATATGATTCATCCAAAGCAATTGGCATGTGGGAGGGAATGATCAGTCATATCATATGGAAAAGAGATTTTATTGCTAAATCATATTGCCCCTGTTACTGCTTAAATAAGGAACAGGATAATCTTGGATAGCTTCTTTACGTTGCCTTTATGGATAATCTTCAAATTCTGGTTTAAAAAATTTCCCATTGTCTTGTACAATGGTATGCCTTTCTTTTTTCGGCTAATCCGAAATGGATATAGCCTTGCAACTTGGCTAATCCGAAATGGATATAGCCTTGCAACTTGCGAGTACGAAAGAAAGAGAGCTAGCTGCACATTCAATTCAACTGGTATTTGGTGAGTTTGATCACATGGTGGAAATGTGATGATCTTAAAAACACATCTGTCTTAATTTAAATTATGTCCAAGATGGAGTAAATTTGCAACTTATTAGACGACCAGCTATTTGTGCCTGTTACTACTCTTATTTTATCTGGTCTATTAAATGTACCCCATTAATGTTATATGCAGAGAGAGAGAGAGTTCAAAGGATGAATCCATGGCATTAGGAATGCGAAAACTCATGTGCACACGGTGAAACTTGCCCAAAACAGCTTCAATGCCATAGAAAATCATTTTACCTTTCTCGAGTTTCATGTGCTCCATGCATTTGCCCCACTTATATTATTAGTCCCCTGGAAAAAGGGTGCCATAAAAAGTTGAATGCCTAAACTGGGCTTAAAAGCAGTTGGTTTAATAGGTGGCTAATTTGTTATCATGCAATATATGTTTTCCTGGAATAACTGAAAACATGAATTCAATCCTCTGTGTTCTGTTGAGTTAAATGAAACATCTTATGTCTACATCAAGGGAGCACATAGTTTCCTGAAATGAAACTACAATGTCGCTGGTTGATCCATTTAACTGGATTCGAACTCTTTCCTGCCTCTTCAACTGAGATATGAGAAAATACAACTTGCATGACTGAAAAGGATTAAGATAAGTGTTTTTGCTCCGTAGCCCATATGACATGTCCAAGAGAAGAAACATGACTAAATAAATAATGCCTTTCTTTTTTATCAACTATACTAAAACACTTGCGTTATATCCTCTCAATATCTGTAAGACTAAAAATAATAAATTTGTGGGCTTCACGTAATTGACTGAACTCGCAGCGCAGGTGGTGTTTATCCATCTCTTATCCCTCGCTGTTTTTATTTTATTTATAAACTGTTATCTTGCTGACGAATAACCGTGTTTTATAATGTTCTTTACACATGGACATGGGCTTGACTTGAGCTTGTAAAGCAAATTGGTTAAGAAGCCCAGATGAAATTAGCCTTTGCTTCTTCAATATGATCACTTGTTGTGTTGGAATTTGATTTTGCTTTGCTTGGTCATATATTCTAGAATTGATGAGATATTGCTCCATCTTCGAATTTATTTAATTTAATTTGGTGTAGTGTAAAAAAATCTGAATCTGAAGATTTTTGTACGTACAAATAGATACGCGGTGATCTGCTTAAGTTAAAAGTATCAGAGATTCATATTCAAAATCTTATTATTAAATAGGCGAATTAGATGGAAGTAATCATAGAAAACTAAGGAAAAAAAAAAAAAAAAAAAAAAAGGGTTTAAGTACAATGTAGTATTGTACATATATTCAATATTCAATCAAATAAACAGAAGAGTATGTGTAGAGAGTCTAGAACAATCAAAGTAAATCCAAGTGTTTGCAAATGAAACACATAGCAAAATCTAGCGTGCCAATGTATTGTGAAGTCGCCACATATCCCTTTTTGCATGCTCATCCCAAATTCTATTCTGCCACGCATCTCTAACCCCACACCCCCCCATTCCCTTCTTTCTCTCTAACCTATTTAATTAGCTCTTCCTTTGTTCCCTTCTCCCTCAACACCACCACCATTTCCATTTTTATTATTTCTCTCATTTCTACATTCATTTCATTTGATACCTTTTCCTTGTTACTTTGTTTTGCATTTTGATATTTTGAGCTATGACCACCATTTGTGCTGACCAACATCAACACAAACTCCATCATCTTCTTTCCCCCAAAAGTCCTACCAAACCCTTCAAAGATATTGAGGTTCCTCCCAGGAAACTTCTTCTCAACAGCAAGAAACTCTTGCACCATCACCATCATCATCAAGATATCAATAACATGTTTTTCCCTGAAGAACTCAACAGTCTTCATAAGTTCTTGCCTTTCAACAATACTGATGCTGATTCTGATCCTGACTCTGACTCAGATCCTTATGCTTCTGATCATTTTCGCATGTACGAATTCAAGATCCGTCGCTGTACTCGCAGCCGTAGCCATGACTGGACTGACTGTCCTTTTGCTCATCCTGGCGAGAAGGCTCGCCGCCGTGATCCTCGCAGGTTTCATTATTCTGGAACTGTTTGTTCTGAGTTCCGTAGGGGAGGTGGGTGTAGCCGTGGAGATGATTGTGAGTTTGCTCATGGAGTCTTTGAGTGCTGGCTCCATCCATCACGATATAGAACTGAAGCTTGCAAAGACGGCAAGAATTGCAAACGAAAGGTGTGTTTTTTCGCCCACTCTACACGTCAGCTTCGCATTTTGCCTGAGATTTTATCATCTCCCAAGTATAGTCACCCTCTCTGTGGCAATTCTCTGGTGAACAATCATAAGAATAATCATTGTTGCATGTTTTGCCATCATTCTGTCAATTCCTCTCCAACTAGTACTTTGTTGGGTATGTCTCATTTGTCACAGTCACCGTCTCAGTCACCACCATTGTCGCCGGTGAATCACGGATTCTCACCCATTTCTCGGTGCAGTGATCGTTTGATAAAGTTTAGCAGTACTCCTGATGCGGCCATGAGTTACAAAGATGTGCTCAATGAGCTGATGAGTTCATTGGCTGAAATGAATTTCAATGAAGTTTCTTCTCCTTTGTCAGTCCCCGGTGGTAGCAGCATGAATGGTAATATTCCTTGGATTGATGCAAATTCTTTTAATATTGAAGATCAGCAACAGTTTGTTCTTTCTCCTTCAACTCCAAACCCTTCAGGGTCAATGAATCCTTTTGGTTGGGATTGTTCAAACAAATGTTTGGTTGATGATCAGAAGATTAATGACATTAATGGCGGGCAGCTGGGCTGTCCTGATCCTGATCTGGGTTGGGTGAATGAGCTCTTGATGTAGATGAAGAAGATGTGTAAATACGCTGTTTGCACCAGCCGTATATATATATCACTTTATATATATGAGATTTGGTGTATATTATTATTGTTATTATTGGTTTTTCAGTACTTAAATTTCCTTGTTAATGTCTCTTTTTCCAAGTATTCCTGTTGTTTAAAGCTCAGCAGTGGAGCGAGATTTGATATCTTTGTTTCATCTACACACTTTTTTTTTATCATTTTGGTGGTTTGCTTTTAAGTATTGTCTTCTCCCTGTTAAGTGGAGAGCGATTTGATCTTAATTTCATGTACTGACTTGAACTGTAAGCAAGGTGTGATAATGAAGAATCTTTCTCTTTTCTTTTATTTCAGTAAATCTCTGTGAATGTATACTAGTGTCTGGAGAACTACATGTTTAACCTAACAACACAGTTTCTTAAACCCACCCAGTTGTTGCTTGGCTTGAATTGAAGATCTTGTGGGTGATACGTGGCTTACATGCACAATGGTGACTAGGTTTTTGAGAATTTCATGGAACAGATTCTGTAGATTTTTTTTTCTTTTTATTTGGCAGATGCGTATCCCATCCGTCATCCACGGTTAAAACTTTCAAGCCATGTTATTAATTTACCATTTAAATTGACATGGCCATGTATAATGTATTTCAACAGAAAGATTAATTATTGTACATGGAAAAGAAAACAGACTTGTTTATTTCAATTAAAGAGTAAATAGTGGCCAAATGTAGTTGAATCTTAATGCAGATATTAAGCAAAAGAAGTCAGATATGATTAATTTTATATGTGTAGATGGATCACAGTGCTGCCAAGGTTGGTTAATTCACCAAATTTGATTTTCTTGGTGGGAAACAATTAATATGTAGCAGATTACTTAATTAATCAACACTACTAAACCAAGTTCAAAAAAAAAATGAGGGATGGAATAATAATTTGTTTCCTAGGAGAGCAACTTATCTGAAAGACAGCTATAATGGTGGGGAAGGGGACCATAAAGGAGTGTTTAATTGAAGGAGAAGGGGATGAATGTTTAAACAGGCAAGAGGGATTGTTGGGGTTAGGTGGTGAGGGAGCAGCTGCCTCTGCCTCTGCCCATACTAATTTTAGGTTCAGATAGGGTTTTTGGGGTCCCCTTCGTGTCTGCCTTATTTCATTCATCCATCTTCTTAATTGATCAATTGGAACAATTCAATGCAATTCCCATTTCCACTTGTGCCCATACTTTATGTACTCTCTTGCTTCACATCCAGATCAAAGTATGGCTACATACCTTCTCTGTACAAATCTTTTCATCCTATTTCTATTTTAATTTGCTTGTTTGGAAATTATCAGAGGGAAAGTGGTAGACTGTGTGTCATTGAAGAAGGCCAGTATGGGTACATCATACAAATAATTAATAGAAGTGGGAAAATATCACCTTCCAAATACAAAGTTGTAGAAATGGTTAAATGTTTGTGAGGGTTTCCAAAAGATGTTACTGTGGGCAGCCATAATGTCTCATTTAAATCACTCTATTATGGTAATAAATAATTAATATCTATTATTATGAAGTTCATAATGAGGTACTCTAGTAAATGAAATGTGTTATTTATCATATAAATATCCACCTAATCCATCTTATTTGGATGAGTTTGACACCACACATTTAAATTTTCATTAAAAGACCGGTTTAATTACTTAAAATAAAATTTTCAAATTAGATTTTTTTTTTCTCCAATTAACCATCTAATTTAAATTATTCAATTAGAATTAGAAATTGGATTAAATCAATTTAAAATTCCTATAAATTTAGTCAGCATTATAATTGAGTTTTGAGTTTTGATAAAAGGCTTCCATTTTTCTCCACCTAAATAAAATTAAATTTCAAGTGATAAAATCACTTATCAATATAAATGTGAAATTTACTAGTCGCAGCTACTATACTAAGTAGCAGAAGTATAACCCACATATACACCCAACCATATACTTTAAAATTACTTTAATTAAATCATTTATATTTATAGGTTTAACATGACGTAAAGATTAAATTGATGCGGTTTATCGTATTTATGTTATACTTTGCCAACAGCTATACAATATATGTTACTGAAGATTAATTACGCTATAAATAATTTGCTAACCAATAGTATTACCTTATTTCAATTTTTATTCATAAATTCATGATAAACAATTTTGAAACGGCAATTATATCCATATGTTATCACTCAGTTTCTTTCAATCGTTGAAATACATCGATCAGAGTAAGTTCCAGCCTTCCAGGTCCACCCCATAAGCTCAGCCTCAGGCTCAGGTAATTAAATTATACCTGTATTTTCACTGTAAAAATAATTTATGGAGTTCTGTGAATGTATAACCTATGAAACAACTAGATACAATGAGGTATCACCAAAAAAATTTTAAAAAAATCCTACAGCTCAAATAGCGACTTATACATTTTCTAGCCATCAAATAAGTAGTGTAGTAAACTCAGTTATCCTTGCAGTTTCTCGAGTAAACAGAAGACAATCTGGACTGCGACGGAAAGAAGTCAAATGGAGTACCTGCCCCGAAAGACCTTCTAGTATTTGGAGAATCAGATAATAGAGGTTCATAAACTGGACTTCTGCTCTTAGGTTGAGTAATTGATAATGGTGAAACTTCTTTCTCTAAAGATCTTGCCTGCGGTTCGATAGTCCCCAGAGACAAAATGGGACCACCCATACGTTCAGCCTGCTGAAGTGCATTGATTTTACTTGGTCTGTAGGTGTAACGGAAATATTTTAAAGCCATGATTGGACCTATTCCTGCCCCAACTATGAGCTGTAATGGAATTACAATTTTAGTCAGTATATAATCCCTTCTACCGAAATAAATGGGGACACCTTCCATAACTTAAATTTCACCTTGTCACTTTTCCTGCTAACGTCGATAATACTGAGCATAAGAAACTAAAAGTGAAGTGTATTGATGGGTGAAAACTTACCAACATAGTTAACCAATAAGATGGTTGGCGACACAACCGGAACATAATTGTGTACATCCCGGATGATGGAATAGCACTGAAGATCCAGTTGATGACGTAGAAGGCAGCTAAATTCCCCCATATGGCAAGATGTTGGAACACGGTAAAGGAACTGCATGTGACAATCAAAACTCAGAGACAGTTAGTACAGATTAATCAATGAGGAAAGGATGAGCCATCAAACTCTCCTGTCCATATTCCTTAATGTTGAAGTGTATAATTCTATATTATGATATTAAGATTGTAATCAATATATATTAAGAACATAATTTGTAAAATAGCAAGTTAGATTATTCATTTCCTAGATTAGATTATTTGTTTCCTAGATTAGTTCTCTATTTTCCTCTATATTGGTGTATTATTTTCTGATCATAATACAAGAAATACAAACACACTATTAGTTCTCTATGATTTTTCACATGATATCAGAGCTAGATTGTCAGAAATTAAAATTTTTTTTTTTCGACGACGATTAAGTGTCTCTCTCTGGTGGTCAGAACCTCCAACTAACCATACACGTCTCATCGTCTCCATCTCGTTGGCAAAACCTCACAAAGATCAATGTCATCGGCCGTCGCACGCGCACCTCTACCCGTGGTGTTTCTTTTTGATAGATCCAACTTCGATCTCCTTTTCCAGCGAGCGTCAGTTCTCACCGCCAGCACCAACTTGCTCTGAAGATGACAACGAGCAAAACCCACTAAGGTTCTACTACCTCCAACGTCAAACTCCGACCACTTCACCGGATTCCGCCGCTGTCCTCGGCGGATCTTCTGCTCTAATCTGTTTGTTTGCTCCGTGTTACCTCTGGTTCTAGTTTCCGATCAGATTGTGTAGTTATCATGGTTACTTCCAACTCAAACTCCATTTTCGAGGGTTTTTCTTTCTTGTCTCTCCCACTAATCACCATTGATAAGTTGATTGAGAGTGCGAATTATTCTTCTTGGGTTGCCTCTGTCGAGTTATGGTGTACAGGTCAAGGTCTGGAGGATCACTTGACCACAAAAGTTGTTGACATCACATCAGATAAGTCTTCCTGGATCAAAACTGATGTTTTATTATGTAATCTATTATGGCAATCCATTGACACTAATCTGCATCCCATTTACAAAACATACCGCACATGTTGTGAGATATAGAGTCAGGGTAAACTACTATATACCAATGATATTCAACGCTTGTATTCCATTGTGTCCAATCTCATTCATCTAAAACAACAGGATATGAGTATGTCAGATTTTCTTGGTAAGATGGCCTCCCTCAAAGCAGTGTACAATCTTCTCCTACCCGTTGGTAAATCTACTGCAGAATATCTAGCACAACGAGATAAATTCTTCATGGTTCTAACCCTTGCTGCTATTAGTTCTGATCTCACTCCTATACGAGATCAGATTTTAGCTTGCGCTACAGTGCCATCTTTTGATGAAGTATTTGCTAGGTTACTTCGAGTTCCATCCCTAAGTACTGTCCCCAGTTCTACCGCTATTGACTCTTCTGCTCTGGCTTCTCAGTCTCAAACTATTTATAAAGGAGAATAGGGAGATCGTAGTTGAAGCGAACGACCCAAGTGTAGTTACTGTCATAGTTGGGGGCCATGCTAGGGAAAAATGCTACAAATTACATGGTCGCCCTACTCAGACCGCTAATGTTACTCAGGCTGATCTTCGTTTTGACTCTTCTGAAGAACACACTCAACCATCATTAACTCTTACTGGGGCTGATTATGAAGAATACCTCCAGTTTCAGGCAAATAGGCAGTCTTCTTCATCTATTGCCTCTATCGCTCAATCGGGTAATTCACTTGCATGACTTACTCAGTCTTCTTCTCTTGGACCTTGGGTTCTTGACTCGGGTGCCTCTGATCACATTTCTAGTAACCCTCACTTACTTTCTCATTTAACTAATGTTCCATCTTTACTATCCGTTACTTTAGCCAATGGCTCCAAAGCTATTATTAAAGTTGTAGGTCATGTCAAACCACTTCCATCCTTAGAATTAGACTATGTTCTCTATATTCCCAATTGTCCATTTAATCTTGTCTCTGTCAGTCAACTTATCCGCTCTTTAAATTGTTTTATATCTTTTGATACTGACTCCGTTATTATACAGGATCGAGG